AGAAGGTATTTTAATTTGAATAAAATATTAATGATTTGTATATCGGTTTAGTGGTTAAATCTTAATGTAAAAAGAATTTGGTTGTAAAAATAATGTTGAAGATATATAATTTAATCTTATCGACTGTTTTGCTGTTCTCAGGAAAGTGGCTACTATAAATAACATATAAATAAATATAACAAAGCGTGTCCCATAAAATTAAACAAATATAAATATAGAGTTGAAAGTTTGTATCAATAAAACTCTTTGAATTTCGGATTTTTTTTTTACTTTTACAGTATTTTTATTTTTGCAAATATAATTTTTGAAGATATCTAACGTAATATTTTTAAATGAAAAGAAGTTATTTGTTCTGTATGCCTTATACGCAAATGGACGTTTTTCTCAAAGTTGAAAAAAATATTCTATTCAAGTTTAATTAAATTTTAATTTTTTATGCATTTATTAGTTTTAATTGATTATCAAATTAAATTTTTTCATATTAAATATCTAAAATTTTAATATTTTCTATAGAGTGTTTGTTACTTAATTTTATGACAGTAACCTACTCATGTTACACCTCCTACTTTAATAACAATAAAAATTAATTTTTATAACCTAACTATCTTTATAAAATACATGTTATTTTATTTTTCTAAATTAAAGATTAAAGAAAAACAGTATAATGTAACAATTAGAAAAAATCAATTAACAACACAATTAAATAAAAAGAGACTTAATTAAAAAAATTTTAAAAATTTAAAAACTTTAAACTCTTAATTTGTTTTTTGATAAATAATCAAATATATATTAGCTATTGAAAATCTATTTTTTTTTATCTTCGTAATTGTTATAGATATGTTAATTTTAGAAATTTTCAAATAATAAAATACTTGATTTTAATATTATTTTATAAACAAGTGTCAGACAGTTTAGAAAAAGTCATAAAAGGGGAGAGAAAGGACTTTCCACGCTACAAGAAAACTCAAGTCAACATTGTCGACTTAATTTAATGATTTGAAAATAAATATATTCATCATTTATATTTAAATCAAACACACCTATATGAATTTTAATTATTTCTTTCACATCTTGTTTAATGTATATCTTGAAAACATTCCACGATGTGAAATAAGAATTAAATAAACTTTTGATATTCTAAAAATATAGATGAAATACAATTGCTCCATTTAATATTTTGTTGACCTAAAAGGTTAAAAAATGAGTTATAAGATTGTAGTAGAAAAGTTTGTGAATATAGATTTGAGTTTTGACCTACCTACTTCTTCAATGATTTTGAATAAAAAAAACATTGACTCTTTATATAAATATTTTTAAGGTCACATCACATAATGTGACAAATTAATAATAATAATGAAAAAAATTGGAAACATTTTATTTTATGGGTTGTTAAACTTTCAAAATATTTTTAATTAAACTGTTCATCCTTCGAACAGTTCACATGCATAATCATAAATTATAGAGTTGTTAATTATTATTTTCAAATTCTTTGATAAAATTCCCAGTCATGAAAGGTTGGAGCTTTGACCAAACTAGAATTAAGAATTTAATTTGTAAGACTTGATCTCCACATGCATAATTAAGACTAATAACTTAAATGTAAACATGATTATGAAAGAGATTATATAGTCAAAATGGTCACACAGATTTTTACAAGTAAAGATTAAGTTATGAACTAAGTAAGAAAATTTCTCTATGAATAAGAATTTCAAAAGATTAATATTTACTTAAAACGACAACGTTTCAAAATTTGAAGTTATATTGATGTATGTGAGTGATAAAGCATTTCAAACTAACTAAATGTAAAAGTGGCCCTATGTGATTAAAAATTGGCAATATCAAACATTTGAATTATTATATGTATGAATCAATAGCTAAAGCCATTCCAGATTTTTCGTGAATCTAGTTGACATACCAAAACCGTCAACTATATATAGCCAGACAGTGCTAGTCCCCTATTTTTCCTTTCAGATAGTTAAATTTCCAAAAAGGTAATAAAACAAAACAATCACATTAAAATGAAAAATTATACTTTCATATACATAAAATTTCTATACTATTTTATAATAAACTTTATTTAAAATTTTCCCACATTATACTTTAATATTATTTTTTATTGAAGTTTATATTTCAAATAATTGTATATTTTTAAAATGTGTAAAATTCAATAATTTTTATATAAATGTTAACATTGGTTTAAAAATAATAATTTTATAAGTTTATATGTAGAATTTTATAACAATTTAAAATTTTGAAACAATTTAAAATAAATTTTAACATAGAATATAAATTTAATCTTCTTAAAAATATTTAAAAAAATATAAAATTTAATAAAAATATTAGTATAGTATTTATATAAAAATTAAATTTATTATGAATAAAACGGTGAAATTACTCAAGTTTAAAATAAATAGAACCTAATTAAACCAAAATAACTAATTCAAAAGTTAAATTAAATTAAAACAATGATATTTGGTAAGATAATAACATGTCACACAACCACGTGTCATATGGTATAATATTAATTTAACACTTGATAAATTTTTATTTAAAAAAAACAACACATAACATATATAGAATTACGGAAAAATATAATTACATCAAATTTTCCAAAATAAAAAATAAATCGAAACACATAAAAATAAATAGACTAATACACGTAATTTAGACAAAGATGATTATCGATATGATACTTCAAATATGATTGCTAGAAAAATTGTGACCAACATGATCAAAACAACTATTACGTATTATTACAACTATTATGAGTAACACCCATTCTGATAACTTCTAACGTTAGAGATTCAATTAGTTGGACTAGTTCTAATAACCTGAGTATGATTTACACACAACCCCATCAAGATTCAACTTTTAATACTTTTTTCAACACTTTCTCCTATTGTTCTTATCTTCCTTCAAATGTACCACAATAAGTAATTGGATTGGATCACCAATGTCAAACTTAGGAATCACAAAGTCATAACACGAAAAGACGGCGCACACCAATGGCAGTTCACACACACACACACACACTTGTATGTTACTTTAATTATTCGTATTACAATCACGTTTGTATCTCCACTTCCAACTAAACCAAGTATTTTACAAGTGGATAAAAAAAATAATACCCATTGTTTTTATATCTGAATCAAGCCATAGATAGACAGACAAACACCACCATGCTCCAACTTTCATGGCACCAGATCCATTCCACTATTTATTTGTAAGAACAAAGGGCTTCCCCAGTTTCAGCTTCTACCTTTTCTCTTCCTTCCACAAACTCTCCTATCTCTCGTTTCTTCTTTACACACTCAATCAATTATTTCCAGCCAATTTCAGCTCTTCCTAACACAGCCTAAAGACCAAAACATCATCATTTTTTGCTCTTCTTGCACGCTGCAAGAAGGTAAGTGTTTATTCCCTCTTAAACCTTTGCCACCTCTCTGTCATATTTGTCTTCGTTCTTGCTTCATTCAGTTCTTCCTATGGGGTGTCTCTTGCTTCTTCTATGTTTTTCTACCTTTTTATATGCTGTTTCTGCCTTAAACTCTGATGGGTTGGCTTTGTTGTCCCTCTCCCGGGACTGGATTGTTGGGTCTGGTGACATAAACTCCACATGGAAGTTGTCAGATTCCACTCCATGCTCGTGGGCGGGAGTGCATTGTGATCGTGCCGACAATGTGAATTCTCTAAACCTCAGTAGATATTCTATTTTTGGCCAATTAGGATCTGAAATTGGACGTTTGATTCACTTGCAGTCCATAGACTTATCACATAATTATATGTTTGGAAATATTCCCCCAGAATTAAACAACTGTACCATGCTTGAGTACATGGACCTTACTGCAAACAAATTTAGTGGAGGAATACCAGAAAGCTTTAGAAACTTGCAAGATTTGAAGTATTTGGATCTCTCGACTAATCTGCTGAGTGGTGAAATTCCTAAATTCTTGTGGGAATATTCTCTCCTGGAAGAAGTGTATCTCAGTTACAACAGTTTAACCGGTTCCATTCCCTCAAGTATTGGGAATATGACCAACCTTGTCACCCTGGATCTTTCTTATAATCCGCTTTCAGGGAGTATTCCCGTGTCCATTGGAAATTGTAGTAAATTAGAGAATCTGTATTTGTTAGGTAATGGATTGCAGGGAGTTATTCCGGAGAGTCTAAATGATCTCGAAAATCTTCTTGTGTTATTTCTAGATCGTAATAGTCTTGGAGGTACTATTCAACTGGGATCTAGAAATTGTAAAATGTTGTCTATTCTGTCTCTTTCTCACAATAACTTCAGTGGGGGTATANTTTAACATCAACATTCAGTAACATTTAATCCTTTCACCAATGTACTACTATTAGTCTTTTGTGTTCCTACTATAATTCCCCCTTTTAACATGAACATTACGCACTTTCGAGTTCCCCTTTTGAACTTCCCACTTCTCTCAGTTTTTAACCTTTCTCTTCAAAAAATCCCTCTGACCTCTTATTTCTTTACTCTTTAATTTTGTCTATTTTTCAGTATTTATGTGTATGATATAAAATAATATCCTGATTCATGTATGTTCTTTTCTAGACTTCACAATAGTGACCATGCAGCTATAGTGTTTTTGGTGGTGGTCCGGGATTGATATACTTCAACTTCCAATATTTGCACAAGATGCTATCCACTATATGATATAGCAGAATATCAGCTTTCCACCCTTTCCAACAAATTGATAAAACTTATTTGAAATAGCAGTTTAGCTTTACCAAATATCTGATCAATGATCTTGAACTAACACAAAGCTCTCCTATTACTCACCTAGTTTTACATATTCAAACCTTTCATAAACTCCCATCTTTGATCCACAATTTCGGCTAAGCTAATTTGATTTTTAAAGAAGTCAAGTAAACGAATAAACAAAGAAGGGGCAAACTCACATTCGTTTTTGTTTAAGAACTCTCATGGCTCTAGCTTTAATAGCTTCCTGGGCCGGACCAGGTCTAGTTTTCTTGATCTGCTCTTTATATCTACTTAGCTCGGCGTCAAGCTTCTTAATCTTGTCATCCACCGTGTCACCTCGTTTAGTAATCTGGAGTACGTACACAAGAATTAGCAACTCAAGGAACCAAGTCAACTGACTCAACAGGAATAAAACCATCGATATAAAAACAAATATCAAAGTAAAAACTTAAGAAACAAACAGAAAACATGGATTTTACTCAACAGAATTACGAAGAACAAAAGGCCGAATTCCAAGATCCTAATAAACGAAAGAGTTCAATTGATAGAATCCTAACTTGAAAAAAAAAAAAACTATAATCTAAATTATCATCCGTTCCATTATAGGGTTTGGACCATAATGTCATTCATTAACTTAGCTTCAAAACACGGATTCCGGTGCGAAAAATGAACAGATCTGCGAATAAACGAAATTGATAATTGAGAGGGAGAGAGGAAAAACCCTATCAGAAGCATCCTGAATGGAAGGAGGAGGCTCCTTGTTCTTCTTGACACCAAATACTCTCTTCATCGTCCGCGATCTCACTCTATGCCTTTGAAATTGAATGTGGGAGAGAAGAGAGAGGAAAACACCGGAATGAGGGAAACAAGGTAAAGGAAAAGACTTTGAATTTTGGGTTTTTGCTTAACGCTATAAACCACCGAATTGTGATGGGAACTTTCTCATCAATTTCTGAGAGCTGCAATAGAAGCTTCCGCCGAAATATTACTATTATATAGGACGAGATTCCGTTTACTGCATATTTGGGTAGCAAAAGAAAGTTACAGGCCCAAATCAAGTAAGCCCGAGACCGAGCCCAAGCCCAAGCCCGAGCCAAATTTTGTTAGTGGATTAGTTTAGGCCATTCCTTTTTGCAACCCCTTAAAATTTCGTTTCAACAATTTTGTTATACATATGTTTGGATAGGATTCGTATTTCTCAAAAATAAATTGTAGAGATATGAAAGTTTTGCATATATTTCGAAAATAAAATTTTATAAAGTATGAAAAATTTATATTTTCAAATTTTATTTTTTGACATAATGAATCCAACTATAAAAGTTTTTAATACTTATATAAAAATTATGTTTTGAATGAGATAATTAAATCACAAACAACAAGACTTCTTCATAGTAAAACAATGATAACTAGAGAAATATAAATTGAAACTTTACCTAAAACAATAGATAATACTTTGTTTTGATAGGGAAAAGAAAAAGAAAAAGGAAGAAACTTAAAAAAAATGTTTAAATAAAAGAAAATGGTACAAATTAAACCAAGTTAAATATCTTTATTTGTGAGGAGCTAGAAAACGATATTTTATAATTGATAGTGGTTTGAAAATAGCAACATTCAATTATTTTATACTAAAAGGAATTATATAAATAAGAAATTGTATTAATGAGTTTCATTATTTTAAAACATAAATTTTCTATAAATAACTTATATAGAGTTCTCTGACTTTTTTCTAAAAGTTTTAACCTTTGTTCGTTTGATTGAAGATCTGAAATTGTAGGAGTGATTGGTGAGTTCTTCAATTTGGACTAATCAGTTTCTTCAATCAAGTAAGTTTAAGTTTTTTTCTTTTTTTATGATCAATTTGTTTTCGTCTTCATGTGGATTTTTCTTACTTGCATGAGCTATTTGAATCATCAGTATAATTTTTTACTAATTAGTGGTCCTTATAGTAGGTTCTGGTCATTACTATGATGTCCTTATGCGTACATAGAGCATTATGTAGAGTGAAAAAGTGTTATAAATGGTTAAAGTGGTTAAAGGTTGTTTTCACAAGTGGGAAGCTAATTATACTTGTTTTAAGTTAAATTGTTATAAATATTACATGTTTTAGAGTTGAAATATGATTTAATATGATATATGGTTTGGAGTTTTCTAATAAAGGCTAGTGAAAAGCATTCGCAAGGATCTTAGTTTGAGGGTTTTTAGATGTTATGAAAGAGGTTCCCAAATGATCACCTAAAAGAAGTGTGGAGTTCACTATTGACTTAGTGCTTTGAACATGATTGATGTCAATAGGTTTTTATAGGATGGTTCATGCTTAGTTGGAAGAGGAACTATTAGAGAAAAAGTGGTTTAGACTCAGTATATCACCATGAGAAACTACACTTTGGTGAATCTTAAAGGAAAAAAAATTGTATGTCATTCTATCCAAGTATAAGTCTTCATTAAGGGAGGAATGACTATTAGGACATGTGGTTCTAATGAGGGGCAGACAATGTTTAGGAAAATAAGTGTTAAGGTTATAAATGAAAAGGGGAGTTCCAAGGCTCTTGCAAGTTTTATATAAGTGTTGAAAGTGGTTTTCCAATAATGGTTGTTTTCTTATCACAACTAACACAAAAGGATCATCCTTTTGAGTAAACAAAGAAGTGAGAATGTATATTGATTAGAGTGGTGTAGTGGAATGGTGATAAGTTATGTTTCTCAATAGTGGAATATGTTTGAAGATAATTATCTTATTGTAATATGGTGGTTCATGCACCAAGGATTTTTTTATTTTTTTTAAATAAATTTGTTATATTTATGAAGATTTCAATGATAATCACGAGCTAAAAGTGTGGACAATAATAAGGAAAGGAGGTCAAAAGACAAAAGAGATGAATCAAGTTATGATTTCGAGTTGTGGTGTCACCAATAAAAGAAAAATCCTATAAAAACAAAGATATTCAATTAAGTAAAAAAGAACATATCCAAAAAGAGCATGAGATAGTGGNCAGTTTTATGCTACAGCCAGTAACTTAGTTGGCAGTATACCGTCAACCTTAGGACTCCTTACCAACCTTTCTGTTCTAGTGATTCCAGAGAACAGTTTGTCAGGGAAAATACCTCCACAGATTGGTAATTGCAAATCACTGGATATGTTGTATTTGAATTCCAATGAACTCGAAGGAGAAATTCCAAGTGAATTAGGAAACTTGAGTATATTACGCGAACTTATGTTGTTTGAAAACCATTTGACAGGAAAAATTCCACTTGGCATTTGGAAAATTCAAACACTTGAGCAGGTACACGTATACAGTAACAATCTTTCAGGTGAGCTACCTCTTGAGATGGCAGAGCTTAAACATCTTAAGAATATCTCCTTCTTTGAAAATCAGTTCTCTGGAGTCATTCCTCAAAGCTTAGGGATCAATAGCAGTTTGGTTGTGTTAGACGTCACGGATAATAATTTCACCGGTCCCATCCCACCAAATGTTTGCTTTGGAAAGCAATTGGTCAGGTTGAATATGGCTAACAATAAATTTTATGGCAGCATACCACCTGATCTTGGAAGATGCACAACTCTTGAAAGGCTCAGACTTGAAGGAAACAATTTCTCTGGGGCACTTCCAGATTTTGAAACTAATCCAAATCTCCTTCATATGAACATCAACAACAACAATATCAGTGGGGAAATTCCATCAAGTTTTGGAAACTTCACAAATATCTCTCTTTTAGATTTATCCGTGAACAGCTTGACAGGTCTTGTACCCTCGGAGCTGGGAAACCTTGTGAATCTCCGGACTTTGGTTCTTTCTCACAATACTTTGAAAGGCCCTTTGCCACATCAACTGTCAAAATGTAACAAAATGATCAAGTTTGATGTTGGATTCAATTTCTTGAATGGTTCGTTTCCATCAAATTTTCGGAATTGGACTGAATTAAATACTTTAATTCTCTCGGAGAATAATTTTGATGGTGGTATTCCAGCATTCTTGTCAGAATTTGAAAGGCTCAATGATTTACAACTTGGAGGAAACATGTTTGGAGGGAGCATTCCTAGATCAATTGGAGAACTGGTGGATTTGATGTATGTTCTAAATCTAAGTGCTAATGGGCTGATAGGTGAGCTTCCTAGGGAGATCGAGAACCTGAAGAATCTGATAAAACTGGATCTATCTTGGAACAATTTTACAGGAAGTATACAAGTTCTCGATGAGCTCAGTTCATTATCTGAGTTCAACATTTCATATAATTCTTTTGAAGGTCGTGTTCCACTACGGCTAACAAATTTTATAAATTCCTCTCTATCGTTTTTCGGCAATCCTGGCCTATGTATCTCAAATTTCCCTGAAAACAGCTATTTGAGGCCATGTGATACAAATTCAGAAAAGTCAGAAAGGCTCAGTAAAGTTGCAGTTGCATTGATAGCACTTGGATCCTCAATATCTGTTATTCTGTTGCTGGTGTTGATTTATATATTCATTATCAGAAAAATTAAGCAGGAAGCCACAAACAATGAAGAAGATAGTTCTCCGACCCTTCTCAATATGGTTATGGAAGCTACAGAAAATCTAAATGATCAGTATATTATTGGCAGAGGAGCTCAAGGAGTTGTCTATAAAGCAGCACTTGGTGCAGACAATATTTTGGCTATAAAGAAGTTTGTATTTGCCAGTGATGAAGCGAAAAGCTCAAGCATGACCAGAGAAATTCAAACCCTTGGAAATATTAGGCATCGAAATTTGGCCAAAATGGAAGGCTGCTGGTTGAGAGAAAACTATGGTCTAATTGCATACAAATACATGCCAAATGGAAGTCTGCACGATGCTTTGCATGAGAAGAAGGGATCACACTCCTTAGAGTGGAATATCCGGAATAAGATAGCTGTTGGAATTGCTCATGGATTGGCTTATCTCCATCATGACTGTGATCCCGTCATAGTGCACAGAGATATCAAAACAACTAACATACTTCTAGATTCTGAGATGGTGCCTCATATTGCAGATTTTGGTATTGCAAAGCTTTTGGATCAGCCTTCTACCTCCACACAGTCAATATATGTCACTGGTACACTTGGTTATATACCGCCAGGTAAATCTTCTACACTATTACATAATAACTGCACCTTTTTTTGTTGTTGTATTTCATCTCTTTTATTTCTTAATCCACAGTAAAATATTAAATGATTGTTTATGACAGAAAATGCTTATACAACAACAATGGGTAAAGAGTCCGATGTATACAGTTATGGTGTAGTATTGCTGGAGCTGATATCCAGAAAGAAGGCATTGGATCCATCATTTGTAGAAGGAACAGATATAGTTACTTGGGCTAGATCTGCCTGGGAGGAAGCAGGAGATGTGAATGAAATTGTTGATCGAGAGTTGGGTGGTGAAATTTCAAATTCTGAAGTGATGAAACAAGTTACAGAGGTGCTTTTAGTGGCTTTGAGATGTACATTAAAGGATCCACGCAGCAGACCAACGATGAGGGATGTTATCAAGCATTTGTATGCAGATGTTAAAAACTCCACTTAGGAAAGATAGGGTTAAATATGTTTTTAGTCTCTAAACTATTGGTCGTTTCTGTTTTTCGTCCTTCTTTCAAAGTAAGGTACAATTTGGTCTTCGTTCTTTTCGAAACGTTCGTTTTAGTGCTCGGAATTTTGGTTTTAGTCCTCATTTTGTTGCTAAATGAGGACCAAATTTTTAAACGGTTTTAGTTTTTGAGGACTAAAACGAACGTTTTCGAAAAGAATGAGGATCAAATTGTATCTTATTTTGTAAGAGGGACGAAAACCAGAAACGTCCAATAGTTTAGGGACTAAAAATGTATTTAACCCGGAAAGATATTATAGTTTTCATAAGGCTTAGTTCACACTGTATAATCATGACGAGGTCTTATGTTTTTCCTATTGTGGTTTTGTTCTTTTATGTACAAAGTTTTGTTTTTATATTCAATCAGGCATTTATGCATACTCTATGGAACAGAGTTTAGTGTTTTTCTAAGACTTTTTATTTTCACTGATAAGGACAGGAGGACATTGAAATTCTTTAAGAGTAGAAAGAGTTATTGGATTATTCTTGAGCAGATTATAGACAAACCTTCAAACCTTGACATTGAAGAGTATTTCCGAGTTCCTACTGCAGAGAATATTAGCATGTCTCCTGCAGAAGATGACAAACAGAAATGAGAAAAATATTCCTCACTTGGTATTTTTATAATATTATTTCATCAAATAATTTCAAAACCTTCTTAATATTTCTACCTGTTGCTATATCAACCAACTTCTGATCCTTAATAGGGGACAGAAAAATATTATTATAACCAAAAGTTCCTAACGTTTTTACTGTTACCTGGATCATGACCAAGGACTTGAAAATGATATTTACATATCGCAAACCAACAAAAGATGAAAAGCTCTCTCTCTGTTTGGTCCAAAATATTTTCATTCAAATCAATATCCACCAAGAATCTTTTAAAATTAACATATATTCTATTTTTCTTTTAGCTTTGTCCAGAGAAACCAGTGTAGAAATATCATTGTGACAGAAAACAAAATCTTTAAATCTTACCTATCTTAGCCTGAGAAACCTTGGGACTGAAGTTAGGATATTAGAGTGAAATTCCAAGGAAAAATGATTTTGGGTTCAAAAAAACTGTCCAAAAGCCAAAATCTAACTTTTGGAAAAAAAATCTCATTGGCTGTTTATAATAATAATAATAATAATAATAATGTATTAGATGATATATATAATAAAAGAAGAAAGATAACTCAAATCAATAATTAAAATAAACAAATATATTAATTCAATTTAATTTTAGAATTTATAACAAAATATATAGTGAATAGGTTTAAAGACTTATCAATTCATAAATGGAGAAAAATACATGATCAAATAAGAGTGAGAGAAGTGGTGGACAATTGCTTCCTAACGAATAATGAATAAGTTTTTTTTATTACTAGTTGATAATGTATTTTGATTACTGGTAAGAACTTTAATAATAATTAAATATGTACTTTGATTATTGGTAAGAACTTTAATAATAATTAAACGAGAATTTACATTAATTAACTTTTGATTTGGTTAAGAGATTTAACAATAGTGATGATTAAACACAATAGTATTTAATCAATAATATATTTTAGTTGAATTTATGGTGAATAACTTAGAAAAGTTTTAGATACCTAGTTTGATTGATTGTAAGATCCTCTTCAGATTAATTACTTTAACTAATTTGAAATTCAACCTATAATCTATTAAATAATAATTGTGAATAACCGATGAATATATTTAAAAAAAACACTAAAATTAGTCTATTTTATTATAATTATTTCTAAAGTTTTTATTTGAATCACAACTTATCAAACTTATATACACATAAACATAATCTATGATAATAATATATGATCAAATTTGTCTTTTTGATATACATATTAATATTTTTGTTTCAATTTGTTTTAAATGATAAAAAAGAAAAAAAAAACTTTAATAATATATAATATTCTTTATTTGGTACACACATTTTATATTTCTAATTTGTTCTTAATTATATTAAATATAAATATAAATTACTCGTACGCTAGTACAAGTCACCCAGTAATATTTTCATGTAATCACTATTATTTTTTTTAAATATATGATTCTAATTGTTATAAGTAATAAAAAAAATGGATATATAACACAAAATCAAGAATAAAATTATAGAATTAAAGTAAAGTGTAATAAAAAATATAAGTCAAATTGATATACACAGTTTTACACTAATGATTTAAATTTTAAAGATAATTATTATAAAAATTAATTTAAGCAATAATCTCTCGTTAAATAAAAGTTATTTTTGTTGACAATATATACTTAGTTAGTCTACAAGGTTTTTAAATTATATTTTTTTAAATTACATAACTCAAATTTTTATATAGTTGACAAATTCAAATTCAATTTCACTCTAATTATTTTAGTTATTATATATTTACACAAGTCAATTAAAGTTTAAATTATTATTTTTAAACAAGTTTTACATGTCTTAGAGGTTTTAAGTGACTCATAAATTTTGTCTGAAAGAATCATCCTACTATATCTCATGTGAATGGTTTTTGCAACCTTCAAAACTACTTATCAATATTGCATCACTTTCCAAACAATTATTATTAATGTATTTGTATTAAAATATAAGATTATCAAAATTAGACTCATCATTATATTAAAGATATTAATAAAATGATTGAGATTAAAAAAAGTTAATTTAAAAAAATGGTTAAAATTGTTACAAAATGTTTACTCATAGAGTAAAATTGATAAAATAATTATTTGAATTCAATTTTTTTTATTCAAATGGTAAAATATGAAAAAAAAACTTTTTTTATACGTAAGTATAGATGAGTCTAATATTCTAAGGTATAAAAGATTCAATTATATCTTTTATGGAATGAAAAAACTTCGATAAAATGTTTATTATTTTATATATAATAATGTTATTAAAGTATTTGAATTATATGAAGTGTAGAAATTGGGAAAGATTATAACATATGACACAATATATTTAAAGACTATAATGAACATTTTGATTTTGATATTATATTAAGATAATAAGTTTAAATTGAACTAAATTTTACCAAACCAACTGAACTAAATGATGTTTATCCTCGTCTATTTTATCTCTCCAAGAAACAAAATAACATTAATAAAAATACACATAAAATTATAATATTAAAATTTTAATTTCACTCAAAAAAATGGATATGAATAGAAAATAAAAGTACGAGATAAAATTTTTAGTATCTTAAACTTAGATCATTAATTTTATTTAGTTTTGATATTTTATTTATTTAAATTAATATTTACTAAACGAAATCAAATATTAAAAAAAATAAGTTAATTATAAAAATTTAAAATGAATAAATACTAACTTAAATAAAATATAAATATTAAAAATAAATAAAATTAATGTTTACCGGTAATCTTGTTTATTTTAATTAACATATATTAAAATGACACTAACACAAATATTTATTTAATAAAAAAATTAAAAACAATTTTATATATTTTTAATTTTTATAAATTAACTTTTTACATGGTATTAAAGTAGATTAAGTTGATAGTAATACTTTGTAATTTGGCTAATACTAATATTTAGACACTAAATTTATATTTTTTTTAGTAAAGAGGGGAATTCAGAATATTGTTTTTATCTTCAGAAAAGCGTCACAAGAAATTATACTCAAACATCGCTAAAGTGTGTACATGATTAAAAAATTAGAAATTCACATATGTTACGATATTCAATGATAGTTTAATTACTCAAATAGCAATGATAAAATAAATGAAAACTTTAATAAATATGATAATTAATTATAGTTACGAGAGGAAGACATCCTCAAACTATGTTTAAATTAAGTTAAAATATAAATTTGTAGTTAAACATTTCATGAGAAGAAATTCCTAAATTCAATATATCCCTATTGTGCTTCTTAACCTCGCAAGGATTTACTGTTTTAAGTTTAATTATATTTTTTTCATTACAAATACTAAAAATATAGCATTTCACAACATCCATATTAACGCGAAATTTGCAAAATAAAAAATAGAAATACTTGAATTGAAGTAGGTTTAAAAAATTAAAATAAAATAAAATAAATTGTGGAGCCCAATTAGACATTGAAAGTATGTGTTCAAATTAAGTTCATACAAAAGTGATTTTTTAGACAAAAACATGTCAGAAAACAAACTTCCTTTTCGAATCTGAGGATTTATCATTCTCGTTTTCTCTCTATGGTTATAGTGTGATTTCCATAAGCCATATATGTTGTCATGAATACCTCTGAATCAGACAACCAACATGTTCTTCCCAATCCAGAATCACATTCACACACATCAAAATGCAGAAAATTTACATTTCACTCACTCTCTCTGTTGGTTCTCCTTACGTCAATCTATTGGGGATTCACAAGAACAAACTATTACACAGTTCACCACTTGAAATACTCCCTCACATCACCATCAATTATACATGCAATTGAGTCTTTCTTTTTACCCTCAAAACCAGTTTCTGTGCCCTCCAATCATTGTGTTCTATGGATGGCCCCCTTTCTTTCAGGTGGTGGGTATAGCTCGGAAGGTTGGTCCTATATTTTGGCCCTTCATGGGCACAGAAAAATGCAATCTTTAAGGTTGGCGATTGACCACCATGGTGATCTAGAATCTCTGGCGTTTTGGGAGGGTTTGCCAGTTCATATGAAGAACTTGGCTCGTGAGTTGTACCAAGCTCGGTGTAGAATGAACGAGACAGTTGTTATTTGCCATAGTGAACCTGGTGCCTGGTTCCCTCCACTGTTTGAAACCACCCCATGCCCACCATCTTTTTACCATAATTTCAAGTCTGTCGTTGGCAGGACCATGTTTGAGACTGATAGAGTGAATGATCAACATGTGCAGCGCTGTAATACAATGAACTATGTCTGGGTTCCTACAGAGTTCCATATGTCTACATTTGTGCAAAGTGGGGTTGATCCTTCCAAGGTGGTGAAGATTGTTCAACCTGTTGATGTGAAGTTCTTTGATCCGGTAAGGTACAAGCCATTTCGTCTTGCTTCTAGTTCTAGAGCAAAACTTGTCTTAGGTTCCCGTGTGAAGAAGAGCTTTGTGTTTTTAAGTATCTTCAAATGGGAGTATAGGAAAGGGTGGGATGTGTTGTTAAAATCATACTTGAAGGAATTCTCAAAGGATGATGGGGTTGCTTTGTACTTGTTAACAAATCCTTATCATACTGACCACAATTTTGGTAACAAGATATTGGATTTTGTGGACAGTTCGGGTATGGTAAAACCAGTTAGTGGTTGGGCTCCAGTCTATGTTATTGATTCTCACATACCATTGAGTGATTTGCCTAGAGTTTACAAGGCAGCTGATGCTTTTGTTCTTCCTTCCCGAGGGGAAGGATGGGGAAGACCAATGGTGGAAGCCATGTCAATGGCATTGCCTGTGATTGCGACAAATTGGTCTGGACCAACTGAGTATTTAACAGACGATAATAGCTATCCACTGCCTGTGGATAGATTGAGTGAAGTAACAGAAGGTCCATTCAAGGGACACCTTTGGGCTGAACCTTCTGAGAATAAACTTCAGGTTCTTATGAGGCAGGTGATGAATAATCTCACTGAGGCTACAGCCATAGGCAGGAAGGCCAGGGAGGACATGATAGCACGGTTCTCGCCTGAGATTGTGGCCGACATCGTTGCAGATAACATACTAAACATTCTACGGCAATAAGGACTATGAAGCTTCTGGTTCTGTTTCTCCACAGCTGCTATGCTTCAAATCTGGCTTGTGTTATGATTCATTCTAAAGGAGACTGAGATTGTTAGCGCACATAATGTTGACTTGTAGGGAATTGATTAAGGCTCAGCAAACTAATCAGTGTAAGGTAATGTCTTCAATATTTTTTTTTTCCTTTTGTGAATTTTTGGTCAAGGGATATGCATTTGTGGAAGAACACAAGACTGATTCTCTGGGAAAATGTCCATCATTTTGGAACAATATCTGGCTGTTTAGAAGGGGTTTGACCAGATAAACAACATCATTTATGCTTTCTCTTTTGATTGACTTGAAAGAAAAATGTAATTCCTTCTTTGTGCAAATTCTGACTTAGGGAATAGTAATGCTAGTGATATATAAAACTAGGATTGAGTGAGAGATTTTCTAGAGTGTGTCGATGGCACATAATTACCACAAAACCTTATATCACTAGAAGATGTTGGTTACATGGATCATATGGCACTATTCAGGTCAGTTAAATAACAGATGTCTCTCTTGACAACTTCTTCCAGTGGCCTTCTCGATCTCCTTGTCATTTTCATAGCAGTAAAAAGTATACAATCTACTTCTCTCATTGGTGCATTTTGAAGCTTTCCTTCCACAAGTTCAAACTCCAAACCACCATAATCAATTTTCTATTTTTGTTTCATCAATTCGTGTTACACAACCTCCCCATGTCATTTCAATAAGTCTTACACTTTTCTCTTGTTATCCCTTTAAAGCCTAACACATTCACTACCCTAAATTATAGTCAGATGTACAGCAGTATGATAGAGTTTGCGTTTGAGTTTGGTAGATTTTTTGAAGTCACAAATAACTCATGATCTATTTCTCCATTTCAGCCTTCTTGCTTGTTGCCTATGTGTGACATCATCATTAATTTCCTCATCATTTTGTAGTATTGGTCTTGAATAGTTAAATTAAGAAATCTGTTGCTTTGTATGTACCAGGTAAGCACCTTCATCACAACACGTGATAGGAAGTAAAAAGTAGAAAAATTGACTTCGAAAACAAAGTATTTATTTTATTAAGGAACGAAAAGCATTCAATACTTTATTCTTTAAGAAATTTACAGCATCAAATAAGTGTCTCACTCTTTATGGTCTCACATCTCTTCATCTATCATGTAAACTTCCTAATTAATAACACCGTGAAATGTTTTGGGTAAATATGACTCTTTTTTTTCCTGAAAAAAAGGTGTGCAAAAGCATCACTATACAAGGTCAGCACCTCACTCTAGTATTGCACTAGTTCCTCTTTTGTCAGTCTAAACGTAGGAACACTTCTTTGGGATTAGATATGCTTCAATTTCAACTAATTTTGCAGCTGTGACTTTTGCCTATTAATCACTTTATTTCAATCAACCAATTGTGAAATATCTCTGCTGATATTGATTAAATTGAAAACTTGAAAAGTAGCTTCCGAGGTTTTATTTGGGTCCTTATTATTTTACTTCGGTTGTTCCATGTTGCCGTTGTTGCACAGTGACTAAGATTATTGTATCCAACCGGCTGATTGTCTGGTACTGGAGGACATTAAGGAGCATTATTGAGCTGTGGTTTCTAGTTAAGATTGAAGCTCTGAATATCTTGTATGCTCTTATTGTGCTTGTTTAAACTTCCAAAGTTTTGATTGAACCATTATGTCTGGTGCCAGTATATATGGAAAGGTGTACCAAAACACCTAGAATTCTCACTTCTCCCAAACAATTGTGTTCTAGTACTTTTTTATTCTGTCAGCCGATTTCCTCGTAATTCACTCTCAAAGAACGCCTGCGACATCATAAGTCAATATGTGCCTGTAAAGTTTGAAATGTTTTTAGCCAAGAAAGAATGAAGTTATCTTATGAAAATTTTCATCCGGGACTAGATTACATAGGTTCAATCTTATCTATACCAGGAGTGTTAATTGCAGGAGCAAATCAAGGACTGAATTAACAACTATTTCCACAATCATAAATCATAACTAATTATATAGTTTACTAAGGTTCCAACATGTGTTAATTAGATAAAAGGTTAAATATTAATTTGGTTCTTGTTTTCCTTGAGTTTTTTCAATGTGATCATAATTATTTTTGTTCAATTATGTCTTAATTTTCATTAATTTTATTCAATTTAATAATTAATATTACTTAAATAGTTAACATGGAGTAATAGTATCTTTATGTGTTAGAATTAATGTCACACGCAAATATTAGTGTTATATATTGTTATTTTTGTTTAATTCCGCTTTAATTTTGTTTAAAATTGAGAAATTTTATTTTTTTTCAAGTTGAAACTAAATTTAATATTCATGTTATACTGATTTTTTTATTAAAATTTTCATTTTTATTAAATATTTTTAAACCAACTTTAATTATATTATTAAATCTTAAAAAAATTGAAACTAAATTAAACAATTAATAAAAATTAAGATTGAATGGAATATATTTATTATTCATTTATATATATTTTCAAAATATTGCTTTTGCGTCCAAATTTCATATTTGGTAGTCAATGATTTTAGTCTTGAAATTAAAGACCCTGTATGTGTTGTTTCGCAGAATAATTTTTCTGTAAAAGCTAGATTCAATTCACGTCACTAATCTTTCGACGACATTAATCAGTTTTCGTGGAGCCACGCAAAGGTGAGATGTCAATAGTAGCCAAATTCCAGAACTAGCTTTGATTGATCAGAGGTGACATCAATCTAGATGTGTGTCTGCCTTCAATTGAAAACGCATGAAAATTGTTCACCGACGTTCAAATAAATTTCTTCCAAGACATATGTAACTTTGTACAAAACCATGAATTTTTAACTTTCGACAGAAATCTTATTACTATTACTGCGTTCACAAAAGGACAGGATTTGTATGTTAGTAATCACAAAACTCATTTCATACGGTAAAATACGTGCCATGTTTCATCATGAAAAAAAGGAAGTGGAAAGATGCAATTCCTGACATGCCAATTTCTACCATAATATATATTTCACTCGGACATACATAAATAGCTCTCTTCGCGTGTCTAGGTAGTTTATTTGGAATACACTCTTCTTAAAAACAACCTCTGAATCACCAAAAGCACTGTCATTGGAAAGCCATAACAATTTCTGGCAGAGATAAGACTATTGGAAATATGGAGCAAACTCTGCTAGGACTTCCTTGTAGACAGGCTTTTTGAAATCTACTGCCTGCACAGAAAAGATAAACCAAGTCATATGTTGTCTACAGTACCGCGCCTTAATTGTCGTTGGACAAATACGAAAAAAGTTGTGACCATCACGTATACTTACAAGATCAATTATTTGTTCAGGTGATATCCATGACCATTCCCCAAATTCAGCTTTCTCAGTGCCATCACCCAGAAGATTGATTTCTTGATCTTGCCCAGTGAACTTTAAAAGAAACCTGTGTAAAGCAAAAAGTGCTAAAAGCATTATTTACCAAAGCAAACAAAACATCCCTCTACAATGCCTTCCAATTCGGAAGTCCTTTCCCTGCACTCACCCATAGTTACATACACAACTACAAATGCATATAGGCATAACCCTATAACCTCATCATAATAAGGTAAAGAAAACTTGTCAAAAACGTTATATAATTTGGTTGTGTACTTTTCTTATGGGTTTTACTCTATCCAGACTGAGCATATCCAAATGTTTACCATTTCTGTGCCTGACCCTTCCAATCAGATCCCCACTGAATATTTAATTTGTCCCTCACTTTCGGTGGGAAATCATAAGTTAACCAATATGGTACCTACAACATAAAGCCACCAGGATGAACATTTATCATCACAGCAAGGAAAAAGAAAAGTTGCTTTTTTTGGATTTCGTGCTAGATGAAAACCAATATTAGTGAGTGGATTAACTGACATTCACAGATCATATTACTATGATTAGATGTAACATTGTAACTCTAGCACAATCAGAAGCATTGAAAGGGGGCTGATTTTGTTGTTCAACACAGCTCAAAGGCCTGATGAGTATAGACAGTAACAATTTAACAAAAGATCGTGCACAAAGATTTTCTAATTTTATTAAAACATTTTTTACTAGCTGCAGGCACCTTTTTTTGGAAGAATTTTTTATGGTAATCGGAAATATAAATCATTCATAGGCCTCCACCAACAATGAAGTTTTTGAAATATTATCTATCTTGGTCCACCAAAAGATGTATGAAACATCACATTTGCAGATACATCAAATCAGTACTCCAAAGATACACATGACATCAAATTCTGCAGTTAAATTGATCATGGAGAACATAACTGATGGTATTAATCTCCACCAAATGACCAATTTGATGGTTTCATAAGCAGATGAACAGTATGATATATCTAGAAGTTCGGGTATGATCCTTGTCGTTTTGTGCTTCTAACTGATCAGTATTTCTGCAGAAGAACTAAACGGGTTGTCACATGAAGGAGCATGTTAGAGATATAAACCATTCAGAGGCCTAATTTAAGCTGTAACATTGAGTTGGCCTGTGTTATAACTGATCATCAGTATTTCTGCAGAAGAACTAAGCGGGTTGTCATATGAAGGAGCATGTTAGATATATAAACCATTCACAGGCCTAATTTAAGCTGTAACATTGAGTTGGCCTGTGTTCTGTCAAAATTATTTCCTAGATTTCATAATGAAAGACTAAATCTACGTAAGAAAAGGTTTGAGGAAATGTCTCCCATTTTTCTTGTTTTTACTTTTCCTATTTACAAAAGTTTATATAAGAATGAGAGGTGACAACCATTTCTTACTTTTTGTTTTTATTGTTTCCTTATAACATATGAAAAGGGAAAAGAAGTGGAAAAAAAATCGCTTTCTGAAACCAAATGGACCCTTAGATATCTTGGTATCTGTGAACTCAAGATTGAAGAAAAATTTAAGATAAACTAGTTTTTAATTGTGATTATTATTAGGCTAGACTGAAGCAGGTAAGCTGTTTTCTCTACCATATCTTTTGTACACTGTTCATGCTTAGCAGTTTTTTCCCACCCGCAGCCTCAAGAATACAATCATCTTTCTATCAAAATTCCTTTCCTTCCAAGAGCAACCAACTTCTAACTGTCTAAACTTTAGGGTTTGTTTGGATGAACTTCTCCATAAGCATTCTTAGGAAAAAAAATAAGAAGAAAATGAATTGACTTCTGCATAAACTAAAATTACCATGTGTAAGTTAAAATAAAAATTTAGAAAAACTATACTGGAGGGCTTCTACAAATAAACCTGTGCATAAGATAATTTCAATTTTTCTTCTCACTTTTTCTTCCTAAAAATGCTTATGGAGAAATTCATCCAACTAAGCCCTAATAAAACAATATAAATAAACCAAAATACTGTGATTCAAAGATTGAATCATTGAATCTAATAAAATCAAACAAGTTTAACACATACAATAACACATCTTCAGAAGGCCTTGCCCACTTCACTCATTCTATAACAATGTTTTAACACATGCAGTCATCGTATAATGCGTTCACATCCCTGTACAAGGATATAAGCTGGTATGAGTATCCTAAAAGGGAGGAGAAATGCAATTACGTAACCAAGTTATTATAATGGTGAAAAATGATTTGGCACTTGAAAATTAAGCACAGCCAAGCATGTAATTTGTAGGGCGTTAGCAACTAAAGACATGTATAATTTGCACCTCTGCGATCACTTCGGCCGAATTAACTCCCGTCTCTTCTCTTAATTCCCTGATAGCTGCATTTCTTGGATCCTCACCTTCATCAATACCACCCTAAAAGATGCCACCATTAAGAACATTACAAATTTACATTCATTATTCCTTTCAGCAAAAAACACGCTGAAATACAAGTAAAATCACGAACTCTTCGGATTTCTTTATTTGTTTATTAATTAGTTACCATCAATAATTTTTTCACAATTCCCACGCCTGTGCAACACTTTGGTATTGCTAAACTCTTTTTTAGGACTTTTGCTTTCTTTCGAGTTCTCAGAAATATGATGATAAATTTTTATAGTAATTGATGTTATCATTCCATTAAATCCTAAACTATTTGAGAATTTTTAAATTAGGATTTTTAACAAAAATAAATAAAGTCCTTGAACTAAAAAAAAAGGTCCCTGCTATTTAGTTTGTGGCAGCTTAATCCGACAAAAAACAACAACAATTTAAATAGTTTTCAAAATTCTCGAGAGTTAATTAAAAAACTTACATCCAACAAAAGAATAATAATTAGGAAGCAACTAAAAAATTACCGAGTAGTTCAGGACCAACATGTAATTTAATCATAATTTTACTTTTAGTTTTAAACTCAATTCATAGAGACAGATAACTACAAAGAATAAACAAAAGATAGACACCTGCGGCATTTGCCAAGCATTGGGAATGTCGAGCCTCGAAGCTGCGAAAATCTGCAAAAACGCGAATTATTAAGCTTTGATGAATAAAAAGCGGAAACCAAAAGCAGAGGGATTTCGAGAGAACGAAGGAACGAACCTTCTTGTGAGCGTTCATGAGACAGATACCAACGTTCCTGCGATAACCTTCTGGAGGAGCTTCCATCGTTGCGAATGAGAATGGCAGCAAAGAGAATTTAACGTGTTTTGAAGGGTATTTCGGGAAACGAATGAATTTGGGAGCAGATGAAGCAGGGGAACAATAAGCGAATCGGCACAGAGCCATTAGGAGAGAAGAAAAGGAGAAACAACAGTACCAAAATAATAGCTTTATAATGGGCCATTTAAGCCCACTTAATAAAGTGGCTTGTTATTCTCACTTCCCTTTTTACTTAGTTCACTCCTTCCTTTCCTTTACAGGGGTGAAATTGTTGGTGAGATGGAAAACAATATTTTGCAACCAATAGTCGTGTTGTCTACTACTAAATGGGTGTTGCAAAAGTAATAAAGGAGGGAATTTGGATGAAGGATTCCATTGTTAATATGGATTTCCACAAAAGAATGTGATTATCTTTCTTCAATTATTTATTTGGAAAAGGATAGTACCGTACTAATATGTAAACACTATTTTATAATTTGACAAGATGACTTAAATTGATGTGAATAATTGTTGAATTTGGCATTAACTTTTATTTTTGTCATTTGATGATTATTTGCACTGATAAGATTTGTAATAGCGATAGTTTGGTGGGCATTGTCTATAATATATGTATTTTCATAATTGTATCATAATTTAATTTATTTTGTGTCGATTTTACCCTCTGACATAACTTTTAAAACCTTTTTGTAACTTTTATTTCAATGCAAGAGTTTTATAAAATTCCCACTCTCATTAATATTTTATTTGGTTGTTAGAAAAACCATGTTTTAAAAATAAAATCATTTTTTGTATTTTACTTTTTTAATGCTATGTTAAAATACTTTAATAAAAAGATATTTAAAACCCATGTCTTAATCTCATTATTCGTGTAGATGATAAAACGAAATGCCATACTATTTTAATATTGGTTCACTAAAATTAGAACGAGAGAGTAGGTTAAATATCCCATCTGTCTCGATAAAGTGTGAATCAATCATACCCATCAAACTATTTTTATTTGTTTTTAATTTTATATTTTTAAAATTATATATATAGTAAAATTACACTATAAATATTTTTAAAATTTTAATTGATTAATTAATTCTTTAGAATAAGTTAAAATAATATCATTTTATTATAGTAAAGTATCCCACTAAAACAATAAAACGTGAAAGACGAGTTATTTTAAATAATTCTAAAATCTCAATAAAAATATTTTCTTATACTCTCATGTCAATAACAATTAAATTGTGCGAGTGATAAAAAATTTCTTACTATCTTAAGATGAGATTTTTCATTCAAGTAAAAGTAACAATTAAATTGTGATAATAATAGCAATTTACTTACTATTAAGATGACATCTACCATTAAAGTAAAAACCCACAAAAAATTAATATAAAATCTTAAAATTACCCTTCACATTAAAGATGTTCTAATTGTTTAACTTATTCTTTTTACAAAGGCCCAAAGCATTTGAAATTGTTATGTAATAATTCATTCCAGTTTTATAAAACGTGTGATTTGAATTGTATTTATTGCACTTATCTAACAAGTATTGTGAAAATGGGTTCTAACCGGAGCTAACTCGGTACACCACGGGTTTAAGTCGGGTTGAGTTGAAAAAAAATATAATTTTTTTATATGGGTTAGTTTTCAACCGGACTCACTTAGAACTCGGTTCACCTCGGTTAAATCCGTGGTGAGCCGGGTTAGCTCACTAACTCACCTAATTTAATTTAATTATTTATTATTTTATGTTTCAATATTATTAGTTAACATTTTTTTATTACAAGAGATAAAAAAAGATGTTTGAAGAAAAAAAAATATTATAGATTTATCTATTCAAGACTCTAATATTATATATGGATAAGTGATACAAAAATTATTAATATTAAAAATTTATTTGTTCGTTTTTTGTGCCTGTTTTTTGATTACCCTTGTATTCAATCCGTTTAACTCACCAAACTAGTGATGAGTCGGATCAGATTCAAATTTTTTTACCTCGCTAATAAATAAACTGGATTGAATTAATTCACTGAATGAGCAATTCGTGATGGACTGGATTAAGTCGAGCCGGTTAGCTAACAATTCAATTTAATAATAATCAACTTGAAACATGTCAGCGGGTAATTCGGAAGAAAATTATATGCATAAATCCACTACAATAATTGTTTTTTACAATTTATAATCGAACCACATTTAATCTCGTATAATCATATTGTACAATACAAAGTATTTTTTATTTACAATCTTGGATTTTATTTATAATTAATATAAAGTTTGTTTGTCAGTACATGAACTTCGTACAAAGTCATCCTTAAATTCTTGAATCTCATATTCAACCTTGACGAGTATGGCTAAATTTAGTTCAGTTTTAAAAGATTTGAATTGAATTTGATTTTTTAATAAAATTTGAAAGTTCTTAAAAATAATCTTCTATCGTCACCTATTAGAAATGTTCAATGTATATCTTTTGGGTTACTTTGTAATTTTTAGTTTACACAAGTTACATATTATATATATATATTATTATTATTATCTTAGAATGATAATCTAAATACATATTCTACAACAACCAAGTAATAAATGGAAGCCTTTTTCAAACTATTTTTTATTCTAAATAAGATGGAAAATTCTTTTGAAAATAGGAATAAAAATTGAGATATTCTGTTAAAGAGCTGAATGTTCAAACAACCAAGTCCCAACGTACGAAACTTACAAATACAGCAAAATTGGTTGTTTTATTTTAATGGTTAGTTGATTTTTCATGGAAAAATAATCCGAGAGAACAGTGAAAAGACCAGAAAAGTGCCACCAAACACCAGTACAGGCAAATGTGGGACCATCCTTTAACATCGTCTTCGCAGCTTCTTCAACTGATTGAAATACTCTACCAACAATAGTCTCTGATTTCTTCTTCAACTTTCTCTCGGTTATGGTTTTCTGAGACTGAACTTAAACAAGAAGAAGGGGGAAGAAGGAAGAAGGAGATGAAGATGGGAATTGCAGTGGCAGGTGTTGATGTGTTGAGTGAAAAAGCGGCGATGATGAGAGAGTCTCTGCAGAAGAGTCAAACCATCGCGGACAACGTCGTCACCATTCTAGGCTCCTTCGACCACCGTCTCTCGGCACTTGAAACTGCCATGCGTCCAACTCAGGTACCCTTTTTCATGTTCTCCATTAAATGGGGGAGATTTTGGGAACGGTTTGCTTTGTTTGACTTCAAAATGGGGTTTTGGTAAATGGTTTTTGATTGGGCAGACTTTTTTTTGACATGAGTGCAATGGGGGTTCGTTTTGGGGGGTTCTTTATTTTTCAAAATGGGATCTGGAGGGTGGTTGAAAGTTGGATCTTTTCATCTGGGTTTGCAGATTAGAACTCATTCCATTAGGAAGGCTCATGAGAATATTGATAGGACTTTGAAGGCTGCGGAGGTTATATTGGCTCACTTTGATCAATATCGTCAGGTTGGTTTTCTGGTGCTATTTGATTCAACCTCTGTGATATGTTTTTCGTAATGTAGTCTTTTTTAATTAAGTTACTCTATTGAATTGATGAATTGGAATCACAAAATCAAATTCTCTGTCATCTAGCTGAAGGCATGCTTGTATGTTGCCTGTGTTGCTTCGGTCAATTGTAAGGTCTGACCTTTGTCTCATTTGGTCAACTTAACTGATTTTTGCATTATGAAGTTATTGTAAATGTTGTTTTTATTGACTTGAAAAAAAACTTATGATTGAGTGCCCAGAAAACAGTTGGAAGACTGGAAAATAAAGAAAGGAGTTCACATGACCTCTGTCCATGTTACAGAACATTTATGATGGGGTAACTGCTTGTGTAAGAACTCCAATTTAGATGTGCTTTAGTACACACAAAAATTTATCCCTAGTTGCCTGTTTTTTTAGCAGATGTAGATTTGATTGAGGAACTAGGGTATAAGTTAACTTTAAACTAGATTTGTGAGACAAACTTTGGAATCAAAGGATCTTCTCTTAAGTAGAGTAACATAGAGCGTACACATTGCAATTTTATCAAGAGACAGGAGGAAATATGACTTGGATCATATGTGTAAAATAATAAGTTCTACGTAAATAAAAATAAAATACATAAAAGTTGTTGTTATATCAACTGAAAAGTTCAATTGGAGGAAGACCTGTCAGAGATGCCAAGAGGACGCAAGACATATGTCACCACAACTTCAACAATGATAATGTCCGCAATAGGGGACACATATGGAATCACATATTTGAGAAATTCCTGCATGCGATTGTTGCAATAGTGGCTATTTAACTTCACTGCACCTTGCTATATATATTGTGGTGCTTAATGTTGGGCTTTAAATGGACAATAGGAGAAAAGGTGCGAGTAATATAAATGAGAATGTCAAGATAGATGTATGGCCGCCACACAAGGAAGCACATGATACAAAATGTGTGTACTCTGAAAATTTGGTCTTTAACTGAGCTGAATGACTTCATGTGATCTATGTAGCTGACCTTATATAATAGAATAAGACTTTTATTGTTGTAGTTGTTGCTTTCTTTTCTCCTCCAAGTCATGTCTTCATTTCCTATCTTTATTTATAGTTGTGAAGGGCTACACTATACTTTATTTTAAGCTGAACCTTAATACTTTAGCAAGCTTGGAAGAGGATGGGTAGAACAAATTTCACATCCTCAAACTTAAAACTTTATTTACAGGATGCAACTTCTGGACTTTTCTCCTCCTGTTTTTTAGAAGATGTGTGGTATGCTATTTACATTTTTTTATGGTGACATTGATCTATTGTACAGGCTGAGGCAAAAATACTTAAAGGGCCACATGAAGACTTGGAAAACTATCTTCAAGCAATTGAAAACTTGAGAAGCAATATTCAGTTTTTTGGCAGTAAGAAGGGTTTTAAGAGCACTGATGGCATTGTTGTTCATGCTAATAATTTGTTAGCTAAGGCTATTTCAAAGCTAGAAGATGAGTTTAGGCAGTTATTATTATCTTACAGGTATTTATGTTTGTGCTTAACGTTCATCTTTTGCCAGGTTTGGTGTAAAAATTATTTGCCTACATGTACTTAATAATCATTGATGGTTTTGGAAGACTGTCAAGAGAATGATGTTTCATTAGATAAACCAATCTTTAATGATAAACAAGAACACTTACCTGTTTAATAGTTGCTTCCTCCAACTATTTGCTGCTAATATAAAAAATTACTAGATGTTTCTCATTTTTTTTTGCTTTGTTTGCATACAACGTTGAATAAAACCGAAGTCCACATTTTGAAGTGTGTTGATGCTGTAGGTGGTTGGTAATTGTTAGTTACATGATGGTTTTTATTATTAAAATATCATCAAATTATTTAATAGTATGATTTTTCTCATAGACGGCCATTTTTTCCTTGAGTCATCTGTGGCAATTTGCTTATGAAGTTTGATTATTTAATAAATGTGTGATTCTTTTCTTCACCTGCTTTGAGAAAATTTTACTTATATTTGTGTTATTATAGCAAACCTGTGGAACCTGAGCGTCTCTTTGACTGCCTTCCAAACTCAATGCGACCTTCATCAGGATCACCTCACCATGAGGGTGGTCCCAGTGGCAAGATACCTTCTAATCACCATTCTGAGTCTCACAACAATAATGCCGATGCTGTTGTATATACCCCTCCTGCTCTTATACCACCAAGATTTTTGCCACTGCTACACGATTTAGCTCAGCAAATGGTTGAAGCTGGTCACCAACAACAGTTACTCAAAATATACAGGTAGTGATCTCTGTTTACTTGTTTATGACTTACAGAAGGAAAAGTTGGAATTGCCTTGTTATAGAGCTCTATATTTGAAAAGTTGTAATGAGCATGAAAGCTAAAATTTCACCATTTAATATTAAAAGTATAGGGTGGAAACTATTAGCGAATGTCTTGTGAATTAGGGAAGTGTCTTGGCCTTGTAGAGAATTCAATTGTTCATAGGCCTACCAGTGTTTTAGATTTTGGGAGAGTTGTCTTGTAGATGTTAATGGGGGAGCCATTGGTTTGAGCCACACAGTTGATTACCCTATTCTTTAGTATACACTGATGTTGGCCAGATGCAATTTGTTTAGTAACATTTTATATGTCTCCATCTTCTTCCTTCTGTAACTCTCTTTTCAATCCTTTTACTCTCGAGAACTTGAATTTTTCTATAGTATTGAACCGGTACTATCTGTACCTTGATACAAAATTCAGCCACATTAGAGGACAATAAAGGGAAAGAAAATGTGAAACAAGATTAAATCCAGCACATTTGAGAATTGTAGAAGGTTAAATATCCTTACTCTGTGGTCTTCTTAGGTTTCTAGCTTGTAACTTGATGGATCAATAATTAGAGCTTGTTATTCAAGAATTCTCTATATCTTTATCATTTTCAGCATTCTGTTGTCATTGTTCTGGTGAGTTTACTGGCAACCATTACTAATAATCTCTGGGATTCTCTGTTTTTAAAACTTAACCTTGGTTGGTTTGTTTTACCCATCATTTGACTGTCAGGGGTTCTAAAGTAAATTTTCTAGGCATGTTTTTTTTTTTCTTTTCTTTTCTAGTGGTGCTGGTATGTCTCGGACACATGGGCTGTCCTTTATTTCTAGCTCTAGTTTTGTAGGATTCTTTTTAGGAAGAAGGATATGGAAGTTATCTCAACATAAAACAGAACTTTTATCTAAGAAAAGCCCTGTGCATGGGTATCCCAACATGTATTTGCATATGCTACTATGCTTATATCTTAAGAAATGCTTGATAACATGAGGGCCTCAATCTGTTAGTAATAGATTACCGCTATTAATTTGAGGTTGTTTGTTATTGGATTGATCCATTATCCATTTATTAATCTATGTGGGGCACTGTGGGTGAGGTCTTCTTGACACTGTCACTGATCCCTGGAAAAAATGACGACTTATCTTATGCTTGGATTCTAGAATCTTGTACAGACTAGAAATTACAGTCACGTGGCAGTAAGGACATCATTCCTAGGTCCTGAGCAGGTTGTTAGATTGCTACCTCTAACCTGTTCTAACCCAGTCTAATTCATGCTGGGAGCACGGGAGGCTTGAAAATAAATTGAACTGCGAAACATAATTTTGTGGGCTTTATGGCGTTGGCTAAGCAGCATGATTTTTACACCTCTACGTGTAGTTCATAAATGTACTTATCATACTCAATTCCAACACTGATTAATATTGCTACTACAACTTAGTTATGGTTGTCATCATCATTATTATGTAGGGATGCCCGTTCTAATGTGTTGGAAGAGAGCCTTCAAAAACTTGGAGTTGAAAAACTCAACAAAGATGATGTTCAAAAGCTGCAATGGGAGATCTTGGAAGCTAAAATTGGAAACTGGATTCATTTCATGCGTATAGCAGTAAGATGATAGTAGGATTGATGGTATTTTTCTTCTCTTCATTATTTTTTTAGGTTCTTTCAAAAATGTAATTATACATGAACAGGTGAAATTGTTGTTTGCTGGTGAGAGGAAAGTTTGCGATCAGATATTTGAAGGCTTTGATTCACTCAGTGAACAGTGCTTTGCTGAGGTGACGAAAAACAGTGTTTCTATGCTACTCAGTTTTGGAGAAGCAATTGCCAAAAGCAAGAGATCCCCAGAAAAGTTATTTGTACTTCTGGACATGTATGAAATAATGCAAGAGCTTCATTCTGAGGTATGACTTTTGGCATGCAAAATCATGAATCTTGTTACTATCTCTTTGGCGTATTGGTTTCATAAAACTTATGAGATCAACTTTGTAATGATTTATTTTATATTCACTGCTTTTAGCATGAACGAGAAAAAAACTGTAGTAAATATAAAAAAAGTCTCAGACAGCTGCTCCAGCCCATGTCTAGAATCTGATTTATGTCAATTAAAGTATTTTAATTCTCTCCTTAGTGTGGGTCCATGTTAGTGTCATCTGCCACAGTTTTTTATTTTCAACCTCTAACTGATAAAAGATTAGGTTAATCGCTACCGTAGATATGATACATTTCAGCATTTATCATGCAGAGTAGGTTTGGGCATTGTTTTGTACATAAAATTAGTATTAGGTAAATTGTAGTGGTGTTATAATCTTGTGATAAACTATTTTACCTGACAAATTTGCAGATTGAAACTCTTTTTAAAGGCGAAGCTTGCTTTGGAATAAGAGAAGCTGCAACTAGTTTGACAAAACGTCTTGCACAAACAGCCCAAGAAACCTTCGGAGATTTTGAAGAGGCAGTTGAGAAAGATGCTACCAAGACTGCTGTAACAGATGGAACTGTCCATCCTCTGACAAGCTATGTTATTAACTATGTGAAGTTTTTATTTGAGTAAGTTCGGCTATGTTGTTTTCTGAAGTTTTTATTTGAGTAAGTTCGTCAATGTCAATTTTTTAAAACCTTATCTATTTATTTTTGTATATATTAAGGCTTTATAATTTAAGAAATTTAAAGTGATATATCCAAACAAGACATTTAAAATGAAAGAAATTTAAATCAAAACAATTAAAAGAATTTAAGCATTTCAAATTTTCTAAAATTTGAAAATTCTCCATCCTGGGACAAGCTCAGGGAACTTAGCAATCTCATGCTTCTATTTCAACTTTTTATATTTAAGAGAAATTATTTCTTAAAATTCAGTTTTCCTGTCGTATTTAAGGAAGGTGATGCTTAAGCTTGTCCTGTGCTCCAATGTGTGGGATTTTGTGTACATTTCTTCAGGATCTTCACATATTTGATCTGATCAGAGTTCTTTAAACGTTGCAGCTACCAATCCACCTTGAAGCAACTTTTTCAGGAATTTGAAGGGGGTAATGATTCTTCACAGCTAGCATCTGTAACAGTGCGAATAATGCAAGCTTTGCAAACTAATTTAGATGGGAAATCAAAGCAGTATAAAGACCTTGGATTGACACATCTTTTTCTCATGAACAATATTCATTACATTGTCAGATCGGTTCGAAGGCATGTCTTCTACATGATCTGGTTATTAATTTCACTGAATCATATTTGTATTATATTCTGATGGTTCAAAGTTGTTTTTTCTCCTGATCCTCTTCTATTTTAGATCTGAAGCCAAGGATTTACTGGGAGATGATTGGGTACAACGACACAGGAGAATTGTGCAGCAGCACGCTAATCAATACAAGAGAAATGCCTGGGCAAAGGTGTTGTTCTAGTGCCTTGCTGACTGTTAAATGCATCGTGGCTTTCTTAGTGCATGTTTGGTTAAGTGTTGATAAAACTGATTTTGAAGTGACTTGATTCGTGTTTGAATGCTTTTATTATAAAGGCAAATTAGTAATAAAATTCAGTGTAATGTCCGAGAACTATGGTATTTCTTCTTTTTCAATCAATTTTCTATGCAAGTAATGTCTTCTTCGTACTGTAGAATTATTTGCAATCATTTGGCTAAAGCCTCGTATGCCATCTACTTGATTTGTGATTATTTCTGCAGGCACTGTGCCTTCCCTAAATTACAATTCTTTTCCTTGGCAGATTCTTCAGTGCCTTTCTATTCAGGGCCTTACCTCCTCAGGTGGTGGAAGTGGTACTGCTGGTGGTGATGGTGCAACTGGAAGCAGCAGCGGTGCTTCAAGAGCAATTGTTAAAGACCGGTAGCTTTTCGGTTGCTTATTGTGGACCTTCTTTTGGGAGAGTAATTTCTTTACTACTTTTGACATGTCTATGTATAATACTGTGGTCAGGTTTAAGGCATTCAATGTTATGTTTGAGGAACTTCATCAGAAGCAATCTCAATGGACAGTTCCGGACACTGAGTTGCGAGAGTCTCTCAGGCTTGCAGTTGCTGAAGTCTTGTTGCCTGCCTATAGATCCTTTGTCAAACGATTTGGGTTTGTTCTCCTTCAGATTCACTTCAAACGTTATTCTGTCATTTCTATTTATGTAGGGAATTAGTATTCATGGAGGTCAAAGTTGGCTTTGTCCCCTTGAGACAAAAATGCATGAATAATGAAAGAAAAAAATATTATAATAATTTGAGATTAAAGGTATTTTTCCTATCCTTAAAACATGGGGTAAATTGTTCTTTATTCTCTTCTATGCTTTATGCAAATCAACTTGGTTTTCCAGTGTCAACAGTTCCAGTGTTTTGTATTGTAATCTTTGTGCACTGAAAGTGTTTAGGATGTAACTTTTTGGTAGGTAAACTGAAATTTATCCTGAATATATCTCAGTTGTTATATGTGAATCCTCCAGTTTTCCCTCAACTTCCTCACAGTTTTATCCAGTTACTGATAACTATTTAACCATTCATCTTTGATATCTTTGCATTTGATGGCTTATGGCTTTTGTAAGAGCATTCATTTTGCAATTATGCATGATTGGGAACATTTTGTACTACAGGCCACTAGTGGAGAGTGGAAAGAATCCACAGAAGTACATCAAATACACTGCAGAAGATTTAGACCGCATGTTGGGTGAATTTTTTGAAGGAAAAAACATGAATGAAACTAAACGATAAAATAATTGCTAATAAGGTAGATGTTGTTTAATTTATCATGATGGTATTTACTATTATATGCATTGTTTCTTTTCTCACTTGTTATAACTCAGCAGGTTGCATTTGTTGGCCGAAAAGGAATTTGCCATTTTCGTGTTTTGGATATTGCAACGAGTGTGATAAGATGGTGATTTTTCTGCTTCCGTACATTCTCTGTATAGGTTCATTTGATTTGTTGCATGAGGTGTTAGTCTTCAAAGCAAATATGTTTGATTATAGAATCTTGGTTTACTTGAGCATTGATTTGTATCTTTTGGGTGTACAAGTGATTGTGATTATATGAATGGAAATTTTTGCAGTTTTCATTTTGGGACTTCTTGTGATACTCTTCCATCAATTTTGAAAGATGATTTTGTACTTCTTGTTACTTACATTATATGAATGAACTTTTGGCAGTCTTCATTTTTAAACGTTTCACTTTTAGTTTTATTCGTTTAAATACGTTAAAACATGCCACATTAGCAAAAAATGAAAGACAACTATAAATTATGTTAATTGTCAGAGTAACTAAAATTAAAGAAAATTGTAAGGGTTACAAATTAAAGAAGCAATACGACTTGAAAAGAACTTACAATCAAATTATTGCGGCCAGAATTTATAATTTTAATTTAAAGTAAATATAAAATAAAAAATTTAAATGACAAGAGCAATCATCCAGCAATATAATTTATCACTTAATTATAATTTTTTGTTGACCCAAACACTTTATGTATTAATCCAAGTTTTAGGACTTTTTTAATAACTCATCTCACCCATATCACCAATCAAAATTACATGAAAAAAATTAAAATTTATGCATTTTTTTAACATGTGACGAAGCTATAGCTTGACTACAGAAAGACCTGTTTTTTTCTTTTATTATTAAAAATATTATAATTAAATTTCTAATAAAGTTTTTTAAGTAAAAAAAAAAAACTCATTCTTCTTCCTTTTAACCATAAAACCTAATAGGTTTGATATTAGGGAAAATAAACTCCACCTATAAAAGAAATTTATCAAAACTTAATCTAGTTTGACCGGTTTAAACTATATATCGTATAATAATAATAATATTATTAATAATAATAGAAAGAGATTTTTAGTTTTATATTCCTGCATAATTGATGATAACTAAGGATTCTAAGTAAAGTCGATCCAAAAAAAAAAAACTAGTTAAATGGATATATTATTATTTCATGTTTCTTTTTGTTATTTAATATTTTTGTTACGTAAATGGATGAATTTTTATCTATATTGATGAATTAATTAATTTGTATCATTATATTATTAATTTTAATAATGCAATTAGACTTGATTTAAGACGTATATAAGGAGTGTGAGAGGGAAGCATGGCCACGTTGATGGCTACAGTGCCACGAATGGTATATAGCGCGCATCAGCGCTTCGTCAACAATCGGGTTTCCCTTCCGAGAAATTTTGCAATGGCTACTGACTCTGCTGGTAATATCATACAATAACCATCCTTGAATGCTTTGTAAGCTATCGATTCATTTCGCTTTGTTTTCTTGAATTTGAAGGCAGGGAGAGGGCTTTCAAAGAGACTTTCGATTACGATGCAACCAAGTACGCCGATGGCTTAATGCCTCACATTCTGCATCTGTACTGTAACCTTTTTCACTGCTTCCATCTCTGCTCTATCTGTTTTCCCAGCCAGTCTTCTCTTCGTATTCATTCATTTTAATTTGAAGCCGTGTTTTCATTTCAGATATGGATCATGCGCAACGCGTCACGACTTTGACATCTATGCTGCTAATGCCTCCTTCGAAGATCCGCTTATGTGTGCTCGCGGGTGAGCATGCGTGTTTTGTTATTATGTCTTTCGTTTTTACCTCAGATACTCACTACACGCTGAATTTTTAATTCACACTTACTGCAGGGTGAAACAGATCAAATCAGCATTCTATTCTCTTCCCAAGGTTTTCATTACTTCCTTTTTTCTTATATTGCTTTGGATGTTCTAAACAGAGTCCTCATCTTTCCGAATGAATAATTGCCTCAAAATATTTGTGTGTTACAGAACATCAGGCTAAATTTCTCGCTAAGTACTTATCGGAAAAGATAGATGAATTAAAATCAACTTATGCATTTTATTTTTTGTAGAAGCTCTGTCATTTAATTTTTCTGAAAGCTAGGAGGATAAGTTGATTTTCACTTATAAGCAAAAATTTAGTTCTCGTGATAGTTGTCAAAAGATATACAAACTTCTGTTCAAGATATAACAGTTTCTGTATAGTTGGTTGTATGAATGTGCCACTTACCAGTAATAAATTAGACTCCATTCAAGCTTCTATTTGATACATTTTGTACTGACTGAAAGGATGATACAAAGAGAGTATTATGTGTAAATTAAATTGTTGAACAATGAAATACTTCCTGCTTGCAATTTGTTGTGACCCTGTTATCTCTCTGTTGACATTGTATCACCAAGATATGAGTAATATTGATAAGCCTTGGGCTTTTATCATGTTATTGTCTTCAAGCACGTGATAGAAGTAATTTAACAGTAGGAAATGTCTTTCCTTTTTGTTCCTTAGAGTGGAAGAAGTTTTTTTTTTTAATATTAGAAGCAATTAGCTATTCCTATAATGACTTGTTTAATGGTAATATTTGATCAAATTTATCTTGTTTCAGGTATTTCTCTTTTCTTTTTCTGTTTAATGTTGAGCTAATTTCCAAATTCTTTTTGTCTGCATATACCCCAGTTATTTAAGGAGTCAAAGATTGTGGAATACAGTGTCAAAGAATATATGGTCTCACCAGGAAATGGAGAGGTTAGTAAATCTGGTGTCATTTAATTTATGTAGTGTATGTTGTACTTCAATTTATTGTTTTGTTTAAAAGTTCAAGTGCGTTCTTGATTTCTTACTGGATGATCCAAAATGATGGATGTTGCTTACAGATATTAATTGACAATAAACAATACTATAACTTCTTGGGGAGGAATATAAACATGGTATCGCTAATCAAATTGTATCTCGAAGAGGGTAAAATCGTTCGCCATGAGGACTGGTATGTATTAATCTACTGAGCACACTGTTTTCTGATTTCCTTAAAAAAAAACTCAATATGACATTTAAGGATTATATAGGACTCCTTACTTTTAATTTAATAGTACCAGAAATATTTGCAACTTATCCTATAGTGTCTAAGTCATATTTTTGTCACTGAATAGAACATATGGAGTGAATGTTGAATAGAACATTCACTAGTAATTTAATCTTGCGCATCTATTTAGTTAGTCATAACAAAACATTCATGCCATGCTACCACTATGTGCTCGTATGTGTATACTTGCATCTGCAATTCTGCATGTGCATGAAGAGAGGGAGCATGTTTTTTCATACAAACTGATAAATGGTGGTTTCAAGTAACTGTAGAAATGATTATATTTTAGTGCTTGTCCCAAAGATATAAACCAATCGTGGTCCCTGACGAAGTAAACATTTTTAGGTCAGGTTATTCTTCAATATCTTTTTGGGTTAAGGTTCTTAATAGTATACTTCGATATTTAACATGAAGACGATGAGTTTAGAGCTGAGTAATTGAGTGCAGTTAAAATTTAGAAGAGAATTAGTTCCTCTGACTTAGAAGGCATGATTAAAAATGTCTGATAGGGCTGAACACAGAAAAATTTACAGAAGACTAAAATTCTTTATCACTTTCTTTTTATAACCAGGGGCTATACTGAAGACTGAAATTAGTTTGATTTAAAAATCAAATCGACTCAAAACCTAACGCACTTCATTTGAACATATTTTTTATTATTTGATTGAAATTATTAAATTTCGCAAGGATTCTCATTTAACGGATCCTTACGTAAAATTGTAACTTTTAATAAATTTTTAAATAATAAATAGAAAGCAAGAGTATATTGATAGCAAACTCTAATGGTTATTATATATGCATACTTTTACAGTTTAATTTTATAATTATAAGGATGGAAAAGTAATTTAATCCTCTCTTATCCTTGTGAATCAAACAAAATAAATTGTTGTCTTTTCTTAACTCCATCAAAATCCATGTTTTCCTTAATTTTTCCGTCAAACGTAATGTATAATTGAAATTTCTTCCTTCCTTGCCTTTCTTCTCTTCTCTACTAAATTTTTTTCTTTTCCCTCCCGATAATCAAATATGATGTCTAATAAAAAAAATTATTTTATTTCTCAATTTTTTTGCATTAATTATTTTTACTAGCATAATATGTTTTTTTGAATGAAAAAAATTAATGAATAAAAATAAAAAAAAAATATATGAGAATTGAAACCAAGTCCATGCACAAAAGATATATAGCAAATTTCTTTTCAAAAAGAACCTAAACAACTGTAAATATAGAAACTTTATATTTATTATGAAAAAAAAATCAAGAGCAATCTTAGATGACATATATAGTATCATAAAATTTATAATGAATTTTATTTTCTAATCCTATGGAAACTAACTTATTTTTAGAATGATTTTCCTTCCTAGAAGTAATAGAGTACTTAAACTCCGTTATTTTACATATATTCAAACATTTTTTTTAATTTTTTTTTAAGAGACCAAAGAACAATTGGGTAAAGTCTTGCGTAACTATAAAATCACTTTCTAGCCAAACATATCTAAACAAGTCTCAAAATGCCCAATAGAAAGAATAACTCTCGTAATTTTAACATATAAAGAATTATACACGAAAAAATGTAGAGAAACTACCAATGCTAACACAAGTTGCAAGACTAAGACTACTTGTATACGAGAAGAATTTCATCTTAATCCAACCAATGTCCAAGAATTGTAAAAGGACTACTTGTATACGAGAAGAACTTCTCCTTAGTGGTTATATCAAAATATTTTTTAATTAAAAAATTATGCATAACATTTTTCATATATTTCATAAAAGAATTATCCATCAATTTTATATATCCTCAACTAGAGTGCACGACAATTTACAATGAAATATTTTGCTGAAATTTATTATAATTTATCATTCTCCAAATCATTCAAATAATAAAAATTACAATAATTACTTAGATAAGTTTCAATAAAGTATTCTACAATTTAATAAAAATAATTAAATGAGTCATAGAAAATCACTGCAAATTCACATAAATATCTCGCAGTTAGGACCAAATATATTTTGACATTTAAAGAAAAGATAATAAATGAACTAGTTTTTATCCTAGAAAACATATGCACC